TTCGCACCAATGATTCTGACAAAGTTTGGAGTCATTCAATCATCCATGTTCTACAGTGAAAATAGCAATTATTCCAATAAATTTCATTGTTCATCAATAGTGAAAGCAAGTCATCATTCATCAATAGTAAAAGTAAGTCATCATCCAACTCCTTTTCTAAGTCTATAAGAGGTGGACTATAGAGGAGAAAGTTTCAAGTTTGGAATTTCCACAATTTCTCAGTAAAAGCTTTATTTGAGTTCACACTATACCCAAAGAAATCAAAAATTGTAAACATTTTTAATTTTCAAATGTCAAGGATGCATGTGTGCACCAATATCCTTTTCATCAGTCATTTTCTTATTTGCTGACTCAATCGTCAGTAAATCAATTGCAAGTTCCAGTGTAAGTTTTGCAATAAAACTTATTTTCAAATTATATTTGCATTATTATTTTGAATTCATTACTTTCATTATGAAGAATATTTTCATAACAACTGATTTTAAATGGCATAAAATCCTTACTCATAGTCAATTCATTGAATATCTCAAATTCAAGGTAAACACATACCAATCATTTGTTCAATTTGATGAGTAGACTTTATATTATATATTTTACCCTATTCTTAGTATATTTTGGTTAATATTTTGGAAGAATTTTGATACTTTGAATTGTATTTTTAATATAGGACTTTTGACTTCCTCTGGAGCAAAACAGGACCAAATGGACGAATTTTGGAGTAATAATTTTGGAGTAATTCCAGTTGGAGGACGTTTATGAGTTACTTAGCTTGATCATATCAAAATTTGAGATTTTTCCACCAAGCGGTTAGTTTTTGTCAATAAAATAAAGGAGTGATGCGTGATGCTGGAAAATGACGTTTATGGGCTTAAATAGCGTTTTTGGAGCCTAAGATGACCTCGGATGGTTTTGTGATCTTCTGGAGATGTGTTCGGAACGTCTTGATCTTTAAAAACAAGCTATCTTGGGCCGGATTTGGAGGAGATCTGAGGCTAAAACGTGGCTGGACAAGTATTTAGCAGATTCTCCTAGTTTAATTAGGGTTTTATTTTGTAAGATATTTTATTATTTTTCTTAGTTTCCTAATTGGAATAAGAGACCTATGTTTTAGGGCTTGTGGATGGCTTAGCAAATATATTGCTTTGCCGTTCTTAGTTTTTTTTCTACGCTTTCTTTTATGCAACTTTGGAGACATAGAGCAATTGCTAAGGTTTTTGGAGATTTTCTACTTTAAGGTGTTTTCATTCTTTTTATTTTTCATAATATTTCCTATGATTTCAATTATGAATATGTGTAACTAGGGCTGGATTTTTTTGCCAAATTGCCATACCAACCGAATTGCCAACCGTGCCATACCGATTTTGTGCCAAATTTTTTGTGCCAACGATAATGGTACGGTATTGTACCGTACCGAAAGTTCGTGGTACGGTATTGGTAATGGATACCATTTCCACGGTATTACCATACCGTACCGAAAATATAATATAATATATAATTTATATAAATTATATAATATATAATTATAATATAACACATATTTATAAATTATAATATATTTTCTTTGTTTGTTAAATGGTTTTCAACTTTAATTCTTCTTGCTACTAATATGTTTTCTTCGTTTGTAATATAGGCTTGACACAAACTCAATCTTCTACAAGTTCAATGCCTCCTCCAAAAGCTTCGACATCTTAAACTTGAAGAATTGATCAATGAATTTTACCTTTTGAAGTTTAGTTTCAATTTTCCTTTGGTTTGAAACTTTAACTTCTATTTGGATTGTTAACTTCTATTTGTTTTGGTTTGTAACTTCTATTTGGATTGCAAGCTTAATTTTCATTTTGATGCATAATTTGAATTATTGTGTGTGTGAATTATGAATGATGAATAATAGATGAATTTAGGCTACAATTTAAATTACTGCTTTATGTTTCCATTCTTTGTTTTAGGCTTATAATTTTCAAGTAATTCGTCAACATTTCATGCGGCTGTAAATCCATTTGAAGGTGGAAATCCAAAATCCATTTGGGCACTTGTTATGAGAATTTTCTTCTGTCTATGCATTTGGTTTATATATCTTTGTCTTATTACAGAAGCACAAAATATGAAATGTTGAACAAAGCAAAAACAGATTTTGTCTCAAAATAAAGTGGCAATTACCATTGCCATACCATGTCAACCGAACATTTGGCAATACCGAACTTCGGTATACCGAAAGTTTAGTATGGTAATGGTAATAGATTTTACCAAACCCAAAATTTGGTACGGTAATTGGTACGAGGGTTTTGGTACGGTAACCTTACCGAACCCACCCCTATGTGTAACTAATTTATTTTGCTAGAGTGAAGCCTTAAGCCTTAGCATGAATATGTGATTTTTATTTAAGGAAAACTAATGAAAATGACTTGAAAACTTTGAGTTTTAATGATAAGGACAAAATAAAGGGTAAAGTGAATAGTACATGATTGACTTTTTAGTGTAAAAATGTGGTTTTTCGTTAAAGTGAACAGTACCGGATGATTTTCGTTAAAATTCCCTTTTATTTAATTGCTTATGATTGATTACATGCACACTTTGAATTATTAATCACTGGTTTAAACTATCTAATTTTCTTAATGCCTAATCACCATTAGGATCTTTAGAAAAGTAATTTGATGCAATTTTGGTCGGAAGGTTCCCTGAAATTAACACTAGCTTATTGTGATTAATAATTGTAATTTCACTTAGGATGAACATCACGTTTTAAGGGTTGCATGGTTTTTCAAAGGGTTTTCATAGAGCATAATGAGTCTTTCATATTTAGATTTGATCCAAACGTCTGGACGAGTTGCATGTTAGATATATGTTCTATGTTGGAGGTTCCAAGTAAAATATGAATAAGAAAAATCTAACTTTCAAAGTGGCATGTGTAGATCATAAGTAATTAGTAAAAGTTCATGAGATTGCTAAGTGATGGTGGAACCCTAGTGCTTTCTTAATTTGATTTCTCCAAAACTGTTTTCTTTTCCCTCCAGTTTTAATATTGCAGATTGTCTTATTTATATTAGTTAAATTTATTTTATTAAATTAGGCCATAAAAATCAATCACCTCAATTTTCTCCTTTACAACAATTAATTGGAATTTGATTTGCTTCAATTTATTTAATAATCCATGTAGAGAACGACCTTGCGAGATCCGTTTATACTACAATAACCTTATCATTCTTGCAAGTATTATAGGAGTTTTAGCCCATTTACATGTGTAGTAAAATCTCTATCACAATTCTTTCTATTTGTTTATAACAGTTGGTTTCATGGCATATTTAGTCCTAGTTATTGCCCTTAGTTTAATTGTCATCATTGTTATTAACATTAGATCTTCCGCCTCATTTGGTATCAGAGCCAAGTGAGTGGTAATTGAGTTAGCATCTTTATAATCCACATTTGTTCATCTTTCATTTTTCATTTTTCATTAATACTAAAGCTATATATATCGGAAGGAAAATATAAATATAGGGGGTTCATGCATCATGGAGAATGTTTTCATGCTTCATGGACATTTCAAATATCTTACTTTATTCTAAGTGTACCTGATTGGTAGAAAACAAATAAAAGCCTTTGAATTTTGTAGGACAAAGCCTCCTTCACGATTCTTCAGTTGCTTAGCTTCTGACAAGAGTGTGCTAATAATATGTTGTATGCCTAATTTACTGAACAATTCTAAGAGAATGGAGAGGGGGAGGCCAGAGAGAAGAGAGAGATTTAATTGTGATGTGTGTGTTATATCACCTTATTGTGCCTTTGTTTATAATAGTAAAATATATTAAATCTTATCCTAATAGGATTACAACTCTAATAGGATAATATCTAACTTAGGGAATATTCTAAGATATCACTAGATACTCTATGATTTATATAATTACATTTTTATTCTAAATATGACTACAACATAAACGTATTTTTCTTGATTTTTGATTTAAAAAATGAAAAAGGTTTAGCAAAATTAATAAGAGCCGTATCTATCTAGGGGTGGAAGTTTTTGCCAAATTATCATACCAACTGAATTACCAACTGTACCATACAAAAGTTGTGCCAAAAAATTTGTACCATTAGTAATGGTACGGTATTTGTACCATACCATACATTTTTGGTATAGTAATGGCATTCAAAACAATTACTAGTGGTATACCGTACCGTACCGCTACTATTAATATTATATTATATATTTATTCATTTATATATAATTAGGTATTATTATCATTAATATGCACTTTATATTCTTTTTCCTAGTCATTTATCCAATCATCTCACTCTCTAACCTTTACTTTCCAAATAAAAAAAACCTAAGTCTTCTTGCGCTGACTCTTCATCTTTTCACTCATTTACCACCGACTTTATCTTTGTTGCTCCAGTTCCGGCGACTCTCTCTCTGGAGTCATCTCATCTTCTCCTTCATCAAATTGGGATGTCTTTCTTCCTAACTTCGTCTATCAAGTTAATTTTTGTACAATTTTAAAGAACGTAGAGATGAAATTTAGGAATCTTTATACTATTTTTTTTAGGGATATTGGGTTCTTTCAGCAATTCTTCCATCTATTTACTTATTATTTCTTAAATGAATCCCTATAAAATTCTCATAATTAAATAAAAAGGTTTTAGAAACCCAAAGGGAGTGGCCAAAACACGTTTGGGCCTTGAATTGGGTTGGGCAAAAAAAAATCAAATTTTGGCCCAAATAAAGTAGTAATTATCATTACCATATCATGCCAACCGAACTATTTGGCATACCAAAATTCGATGTACCAAAAATTTGGCACGACAGTAGTAATATATTTTGTTATATTAAAAAATTGTTTTGGTAATTGGTACATGAGTTTTTGAACGATAAAATACCATCCCTATATCGATCTGCGCAACAACTGAATGCATCACTCACTCAACGAAAACCATCAGATGATTCGACGGCTAGGATCTTTCTGTTCAAAATCATCCAACCTGAGTCACAGATATATAACAACATATTTTCCGATTCTATAAAATAAAGAAAACGAAGAAAAGGAAACCCCGAGAAAATCAGTTTCACTTCTTCTTCTACGATGGCGCTGTCTGCAATTACCACGCACTGCCCATCTCTTGTTCGTCTGCCGGCGAACGCCCCTTCAACCTCCTTACCTCCTACCTCAGTATCTTTTCGGTTTTCGTCGATCAGCCTCAGCCGTAGAAAACCCATTTCAATTCGATCAACTTCAATTTCGGGTATTTTGTATTAAAATTTGTCTTTGTTTTTTTTTCACTCATTCAGTTTGTGGGTACAATTTTTTTTTTTTTATTAATTTGCTTCTGTTTTGAATTTGATTCGATTTGACTTGAAATTGATCTGAGTAGGTTAGAAATGGTGTTCTCTTTCTTTTCAATTTCATCAATCATGTTGTACAAATGATGCTGTTTGAATTTTGGGTTTTGTACATGGTATGCTCTTATATACCTAGTGAACTAGAGTTTTTACTAGCTGAACTTGAGCCAACTTCTGGTTGAAATGATTTGAGTGTAGTTTGAGATTGTTGTGTTGAGTCCTGTGATAAAACAGGTTTAGTTTATGTTGAAATATCATTTCTGAGAAGAAAAAAAAGAGTTTAAATATCTTGTTGATACATAAAACCGAAGGTCTTGAAACAACGTAAATCCGATCGTGAATCTGCAAGAAAAGTAAATAACACAAGATGTATCGTGGTTCATCCCAAAATTTGGGCTACGTCCACACTGATATTGTATTTCTGAGATGATTGTGAGGGAGAGAGTGTGAAAGCCTCTGTCATGAGAGTGAGGCTCTGAGAAGGGGTGAGAGGGTCTAGGAATTGGCCTCTTCCAATTGTGAGGGTGAGGAGCCTTTTATAGAATAAGGGCTCCTCACTTATTATATATTTGTCTCTTCCTTTATTACATAATTACATTTAAATCCCCATATTATTTATCATATATTGGGTCTCAACTGGGCCTCATGAAAAATACTTGGGGGACTTTAGCCCAACATTCATGTATTGAGGAGCAAGCCCTTATTCTATAAAAGGGACTCTCTCACCACCATTAGAGAGCATCAAACTCTAGCCCATATTTATATATTGAGGAGCGAGCCCTTATTCTATAAAAGGACTCCCTTACCTTTGAACACCACAAGCCGAGCTAATCAAGGCAACATAAGCCACAAGCCGAGCAAGCTCACATGTGCTACATCTAGTTAAGCCTCATTTCACATTGAGCGCCGCCTCATATCGAGTATTCAGCTCTAGACGACATCTAGTTACTTCGGTCCACACATGGACTGAATTTCAAGTCTCTAGCCAAAAGACTCTCTTGAAGACTTGGGGGACTACTGTTTATATCATACTTAGGGCTTCTGTATTTAGATCTCGTATAAATACTCGGGGGACTTAAATGTACTTATGTAATAAAGGAAGGGGCAAATATGTAATAAGTGAGGAGCATTTATTCTATAAAAGGACTCCTCACCCTCACAATTGGCAGAGGCCAATTCCTAGGCCCTCTCATCCCCTCTCAAAGCCTCACTCTCATGACAAAGGCTCTCACACTCTCTCCCTCACAATCCTCTCAGAAATACAATATCAGTGTGGACGTAGCCCAAACATTGGGGTGAACCACAATACATCTTGTGTTATTTACTTTTCTTGCAGATTTACGTTGTTCCAAGACCTCCGGTTTTGTGCATCAACATATCTCAATCCCACTCCAACTAATACAGAGGTCATTTGTGATAAAACTAAGGTTCTAAAAGTTGCTAGTCGGGGGGTAAGCTGCGCCTAGGCGGACTAGATGGATTTAAGTAAATCTATTATATTTCGTGTAAATAAGTGTCTATTTATACTTAAAATATATATAATTTCATTATATAACATTTATATTATGAAGTATTGGAACATAATGAAAACATAGGGAACATGCATATAATGTGTATTCAACAAGTCTCTTATTTATTGAAAAAATAAAATGCAAAATGAAAGTTATCTATTTTCTGTCTAAGTAAGTAGCAACCTAAGCTAGTGCCTAGGCAGGTCTGGGCGGACTAGGCGGGTGCCTGGGCGGTCAAGGCGGGTGCCTTAGCAGGTCTAGGCGCCCTTTCTTAATTTTCAAATGCCTAGGCATTAATTGGGGTGATGGTCAACCGCCTAGCGCCGTCTAACCTAGACGGCGCTAGACGGGGATTTTTAGTACGGTGGATAAAACCCGACACTTGGCGGACTAGGCACTGGGTAATTACCAAGTTGGGACAATATTAATGTTGTTGAAAGTGGGCCTCTCTGATAATTTGACAGTTTCTTCTCCCGTGATTTTTACGTTTGGTTCATAATCCAATGGTACTGAGATTTGTTTGTGTTTCAGCTGTGCCAAAAACCGAGGGGCTCACACCTGCAATTTCACTTACAGACAGCGCATTGAAGCACTTCAATAAGATGAGATCTGAACGCGGTGAAGACTTATGCTTGAGAATTGGTGTCAAACAGGGTGGATGCTCAGGCATGTCTTATACCATGGACTTCGAGAGTAAAGCAAATGCAAGGCCAGATGATTCTATCATTGAATATAATGGCTTGATTATGGGTAAGTCTGTATATTTTCGTTCTCTTTGTCATGTGAGGCAGGTGCTTATTTGTGACAGATAATCTATCTGTGTGTTACTTGTTGTATTTTAGTGTTATGACTGCACGACTTCCACTCTCAATTTTAGTAGCCTTGTAGATGACCGATTGATTGTCCATTTACCTGAGGGTGCATGTTGAAGCGTTCTCATGAATATCTTAAACTGTTTAGACACTTTCTTTCTTTCATACAAAGTTATCTTTAGGATTTGCTGTATTCATGTCAACATTTGACAGTCTGTCGTTTTTAAAAACCAGCATTGCTATGTTGAATATTCCAATCCCAATGCAGTTTTTCATGGAAGATCTGAAATCTACTTTTTATGTCTGATCACAGGACGCGAATAATAATCACGAATGAATTCCCCCATCAGTTTATGTTGTCAAAACCTAATTATGTTCCCATTGCCCACAACAAGTTGGAGGGCATGAAAAGATGAATCCCATGAAGTTCTAAGGGATTTTATTTGAACCTTTGATGCAGGACAATAGGAATAGATAGGAATATAGTAGATATCCGGACTCACTCTGGCCTTTGGCATCTTAACAATGGTTTGCAATCGGATGCAGGACAATAGGAATAGTTAGGAACATGGTAGACATCTAGACTCACTTCAGCCTTTGGCATCACACAAAGGTGTATTGGAATTACTCCAACAGACAAACTAGAAAAATTCTGGCACCACACCTTGGCATCACATGGAAGGTGCCTTGGGATCACCCCGAGGTTGCTGTGCCTCACACACAAGCAGAAAATTCAGAACTTCTTTTCACTAACAATGATTTTAAAAGCTTACACAGTATCCTTTCAATAGGTTAACTGTTACATGAATCACAAAAGATCCACATTAATATACATGGGAATTCTAAATACTAATTTATGACACCTAATACATTAGTCGTGTAACATAGAGTGACTAAAATACAATAAGCGTACAAAGTACATGTGTAAACTGCATTTATTAGGGAAGGAACTACAAAGACTAATTATCAATTTCTGACCTTGGCTCCTGCATCAACCTCTATTTGTCGGCGAGGTAATATCTGCTTATGATGATATTATTTCACAGGTATTCCCTTTCCAAAGAAAATCTCCACAACTACTTCTCAACTAGTCAAATTTTCTCCTTGCCCCATTTTATCAAGATTTGGGCACCATTTTCCACTTTGCCTAATAGATCTACTCGCTTAATGTGGCCTTATGCAACAAAAAGCTTGTGAGCAGAAGATGTTAAGTATATGTGTTTTACATTCTCTCTTGACCATTCTGTTGTCTGGGTGATTGATTGTATTTCGACTATTTGACACATTATGCCATGCCATATTACATTGCACTGGGTTTGTTTGGATTTTTCTCAATAACTTATGCATTGTGCTTGCCAAGGATGCCTCAACTCCGGTTTCCCCTTGTTTTGCAGTTTGTGATCCAAAGAGCCTCCTGTTCTTGTATGGCATGCAATTAGACTACAGTGATGCTCTTATCGGTGGAGGATTTTCTTTCAAGAACCCCAATGCTACACAGACATGTGGATGCGGTAAATCTTTTGCCGCAGAGATGTAGCATGACGTACATGGAACCTTTGAATAGAATGAATAGAATATGATTAAGAAAACTTCCAGTGTGTATTAACGTAGTATGTTGCGCTACATGTTTCAGTGATGCACTTAAAACCTCGTATTAATGTCAATTGCATTACTGCACAAGTCTGCATCCAGTTTTTTGTATTTTATTTCTTCCCAGTAACTCTCTCACATTCTTCTTGTTAATATTTGTTCCGGTCATCTGGAGCATAAAAAGGAACTCTTGTGTAAACCAACTCTCGTGTGGTTTACATGAGAGTTCCTTTTTGAGAGCATTGCCCTCAGAAGATTCCTCCTACTTCATTACTCCATGTGCTTGAAGTAGATGGATTTCCCAATCAAACATCAAGTTCCCCCAACCTCTGTAATAGCAATTAAAGTATAACAACACATCACCTCTTCTTTGGTTGTTAAAATTACATGTTGGAGGCTAGACTATCATTAGTAAGTTGTCAATGATTACATCTTGAATATAGAAATCTAGTGAATCTTTCTAACAGGTCCATTCTGCAAAACTTATACTACCGAGTGATACGTACCATTATATTTGTACTTGAATGTTGGATTGTTGTTTATAATGTTGTCAAGAACTTGCACGTCACAAACAAGAAAAACTTAGTAAAACCAAAGGGGAAGTGTTATAAGCACTCAAAAAATCTCATTCTACACTCCTCATAACTCACAAGTGTATTTTTCTTTCTTAATATAGAAAGTTTAGAGTGTATAATGAGATTTTTTTAGTGCTAATAACAATTTCCAAACCAAAATACTAAAAGCCTTACATCTTTGTGCAAACCGTCTCACAAATGACCTTAGATAGGCCACCGTATTGTAGAAAAACAAAAAGAAAAATAAAGTGTCTTGTGGACACGTGCACAAATGTTTTGATAGTAAATCATAAAGCAAATATATGATAATAGAAAATTGTTATTAGTACTATAGTCCAGTAATCAACGTGTAAGATTACAAATTCTATTAGTGCAAATGACGAGTTTAACTTATATTCTTTTAGGTCACTTAGTATTATATTCTAGCGATACTCCCCTACTTATAAGTGAGAGGTCTTAGGTTTAATTCTCATCAAAAATGAATTTGAACCACATTATTACTAGCACATTGTGAGAGTAAGCTCACCCTCTCCTCTTAGTGTAGATAATATCGGTTGTTCAAAAAAAAAAAAAAAACTTCTATTCTTTTAAAAAAAAATTAGAAAAAGAAAGAAAAATAAAATCGTATAGCAGTGGCATTGTGGTAAAATACCAGAGACTACGTCCTCAAGTGAGCATCCAACGGTCCAGGATCCAGATATAGGCAGAGGAATTCGTTGTCTCTCTCATTCCCTCTCTGTACACTTCTCAGAGCTCAGAGGCCTCAGAGCAATCAAATCAAAACCCTAAATCGAAAACGAACAGGAAGAATACGAGGACTGAGCTACGATCATGGCCTTCTCTTCCCGCCTCTTATCCAAATCAAGACAGGTTAGTCACTCGATCCTCATTTCTCAATTTTCTTTCTTTAGCTGTTTGGCTTCTGAGAAAATGTTTGAGATAATTAGGGCATTTCAGATTTTCATTTTTAACTTTCTTAAAATTATCGCGTATCAGATGACATAGTTTGCGATATACTGTAATGTGAAGTTTTCGTGATCCGAGAGATGATGAATATGCGAAATGCTTCGGGGGTGTTTATCTCTGGATAAATGAAAGCCAGGGATTCTTGGATTTTTGTATTAATTTTCTTTGTAATGTTTCAGCTGTGTGGCAATGGAGTCATTCTTCAACAGGATCGCGTTATTCCGGTCCGTTATTTCGCCAAGGAAGCAAGTCGCCCCGTGCTAAAGGGTGATGGTGAGTCAAAATGCTTGGCCGTATTTAAGAGGTTATGTGATGCTATTCATTGTGATTTGCAAGGTTAACGTTGAGAACAATGGTTTGCTTTACGCCTTTCACAAATTTACATTGGTTTTAATATGTGAGTGCTATACAATGCTAAGTTCCAAACTTGATATCTGGTATTTTTGTGTCTTTTAGGTAGTATGTATTTATGGGTGACTGGCTATCCATTGTTGATCTTATTTATGTCTTTCCTTTGTTAATATTTGATGAAACCTTACTGAACATTTCTTACGTTTGAGGGGTAAAGAGATGCTGAAGAACATCTTCTTGGATGTTAAAAAGAAATTTGAGACAGCTCTTGGTATACTTCGCAAAGAGAAGATCACCATTGACCCAGAGGATCCAGCTGCTGTTTCTCAGTATGCCAAGGTCATGAAAACCATAAGCGAGAAGTGAGTTTTTTTAACCCTTTACCAGTATATTTCTTAGAGTAATATAATTGCTTTATTGTTGTACACAGATGTGCCTATTTGTTTTCACATGTTATATAATTTCACATTTCGTGACAAATATATAAACACAAGGGATGGCAGTGCTATGTTTCTAGAATGTACATTATCTTCATTAGTAATCTTTTTGTATAGTTTTTACATGATATACTGATACAGTTTACAGAGGAAAGGAGTTGTAGGTAATGCAAATAAGGAAATTGACAGGGAGGGGATGATAAGGGAAAAATGGTATGGACAATCAATATTTGTGATCAACAGTGAAGGAACTTGAACCATAGCATATATAATATATGACCCCCTTCTTAAGAGTAATCCCATTCGTTGAGAGTGATTCATTGTTCGAGGCACTCTTCAATGAGGTTTAATAATCCAAACCATCTAGTTTACAGATCTCCATCTTAGAATCATCTGTACAAAAAGTTACTCAAATCCAAATTCATTTGACCATCATGAACATTTAGTAATTCTGTAACTCGGAAGTGGATAATTTACTTTTGACTTCCAAAATTTTGTATTGTTACTGTAGATCTCCTTTTATCTTGTGCTTTTATTTCCATTAACTTCTACTGGTATTATATGACTCAGAAATGTAGATAAAATGACAATCACGTTAGAGGAGGGAGCTTATGCGCTGTTCTGTGTTTTTCTTCATCAGATGCCATCTTTCATTATTTTAACTTTTTTGAAGTGGTTACTAATGCATTTGTGTGTCTTGCAGGGCTGATTTGTTCTCAGAATCCCAGCGCATCAAACACACCATCCAAACCCGAACACAAGATATCCCAGATGCTCGAACATATCTGTTGACATTGAAAGAAATTAGGATCAAGTACGTGCTACTCTGTTCTTCAAATTGTTGAATGTCCTTTGTATAATGGGATTAATGTGGTTTTTAATTTTTGTGCTTATACTCCATGTTGTTTCTGTTATTACTCATGAGGCCTTATTTTAATATAAAGTAAATTGTAGCAATGGTCCCTCAACTTTAATCAAATTGGAGCAATGGTCCCTCAACTAAAAATTCATTACCATTGGTCCCTCAACTTATCAAAATGTGTAGCTATAGTCCTTTTCAACAATTTTGTCAAAATTTTGTCAAAATAAGTTATGTTGGAATGACCATTTATACAATTAGGGTCCCTCAACTCATCGAAGTGTGCAATTATGGTCATTTTCGTCAACTACGTCAAAATTTTTGTCAAAACGAGTTATGTTGAAAGGATCATTGCTACAATTGGGTTAAAGTTAAGGGACCATTTCTCCAGTTGAATTAAAGTTGAGGGATCAATGGTAATGGATTTTTAGTTGAGGGACCATAGCTGCACGTTTTGATGAGTTGAAGGACCAATGGTAATGGATTTTTAGTTGAGGGACCATTGCTCCAATTGAGTTAAAGTTAAGGGACCATAGCTGCAATTTACTCTTTAATATATAGTTTCTACCAAATTTAGTGTGATTGTCATTTTAGTGATCTAAAGTCAGAAACAATTACCTTATTCTTTTGGCCATTAATGCTATTAATATTTGTGCTCATCCTACATGATGTTTCTAAACACTGAGTAATGTTTAGGGGAAATTTTGGATAAGTTTACTAATTGTGATTCTGTATTGAGGGGATGTATTCTGGGAATGTATATTTGGAATAAGTTCCCAAGAAGATAAAGTGGAAAGGCTGGCTGGTTCTCAGGCGGTGAGGCGACTGGGAGCGTGGGAGGCCAGTAAACAGCAAAGTCATCCTTTACACAATTTTTTGTTGCGCAAGATATCATGAGAGATGCTTGTGGGCTGAGTTGGGAAGGAAAGAGAGCACTTAATTAGAAGCGAGGTAGTGTCTTTAACAATGCAGAAGGGCGGTTTATGTGTAGTGAAGTTTTTGTTAAGATACAAATCACTAAATGGTTGTGGCCTCTTTCCTTAAAACGAAGCTTTATGGTATATGATAAGAAGAAGCATGCATGGGATTCAAGAAGATGGGTGGCATGCAAAACCGTCTTTCAGCTGGGACTATGATTTAATGAAGAACTTAAATGGTTAGAAGGCAAGGAAGATGGCTGATTTGTTCTCTTCTTTGGAGATTTTTAATATTTTTTTAGCAATAGAGCTGTTTCTAGTATGTTGTTACTGGAATCAATATGTTGTACCTTTCTTTCGAAGCCTGTGTGACAATGCCGGTGATAATGCCTTCTATTCTTACTCCTCCATTTGGAAATCAGAGGCACCTGTGAAGGTGCAGATTTTGGTCTAGTTGATTGCTCACGGCAAAGTGAGTACATGTGATAAGATTGAAATGCAAAGACCAAAACCTTGTCTATCACCTTGCACCATGTGTGGAGGTGAAAATGGTCTATTCACCATTCTGTAGACTTCAATTGTGTTGATCCCAGCAGGATGTCAGGCATGGTTACGCAAGTGGCAGAAGTTGTGGAGGGGCTGATTGGAGGAGATTGAGGAGAATATTATATTTTGGACTTGGCTTTGGGCTACAATAACTTAAGCATCGTCTGATTGCCTGCAGTGTAATGCTAAAATCTAGTTCTATGTGGTGGTATTGTTTTGGTAGGATTATATGTAATGTAAGATGGATTTTGTTTGAGTACGTATTGTCATTTAGGGTTTTTCTGTTTACGCATACGTCTGCCTTGCGAACATCCATACTTAACGCTTTTACCGTTACATTTGCCAATTAACTTATTTCTTTCCCTTTTGCAGGAGAGGTCTCACTGACGAACTTGGTGCAGAGGCTATGATGATGGATGCGTTGGAGAAAGTCGAAAAGGAACTGAAGAAACCACTTTTG